GTGCCTGGCTACCACCAATGACCGCCCTGACAGGGAACACAACAGAGAGTCCCTGATGGAGCAGGAGAAAAGTGGGATGCAGAACTCAAATTCACATAAAAAGACCAGACTGAATGGTTTGACTAAGACTGGAGGGACCCCAGAAGACATGGCCCCCAAACTCTCTGTTAGCCCAAAACTGAAACCATTCCCGAGGCCAACTCTTTTTTTCTTTTTTTAGTTGATTGTTGTAGTTTAAGTGAAAGTTTACATGTCAAGTTAGTCTCTTATACAAAAATTTATACATACATTGTTATGTGACCCTAATTGCTTTCCCTATACTGTGACAGCACACTCCTCCTTTCCACCCCTGATCCATTCAACCACCTCCTAACCCTCTCTGCCTTCTCATCTCACCTCCGGACAGAAGCTGCCCATTTAGTCTCATGTATCTACTTGAGCTAAGAAGCACACTCTTCACGAGTATCATTTTGTGTCCTATAGTCCAGTCTTTGTCTAAGAGTTGGCCTCGGAAATTGTTTTAGTTCTGGGCTGACAGAGAATCTGGGGGCCGTACTTTCCAGGGTTCCTCCAGTCTCAGTCAGACCATTAAGTCTGATCTTTTTACTAGAATTTGAGTTCCACACCCCACCTTTCTCCTGCTCCATCAGGGACTCTGTTGTGTTGCCTGTCAGGGCGGTCATTGGTGGTAGCCAGGCACCATCTAGTTCTGGTCTCAGGCTGAATGAAGTCTCTGGTTTATGTGGCCCTTTCTGTCTCTTGGGCTACTACTTTCCTTGTGTCTTTGGTTTTTTTCATTCTCCTTTGCTCCAGGTGGGTTGGAACCAATTGATGCATCTTAGATGGCCGCTTGCGAGCTTTTAAGACCCCAGACGCCAAGTCCAACTCTTCAGACAAAGATTAGACTGGACTATGGGACATAAAATGATATTCGTGAAGAGTGTGCATCTTAGCTCAAGTAGATACATGAGACTAAATGGGCAGCTCCTGTCCGGAGGTGAGACGAGAAGGCAGAGAGGGTCAGGAGCTGATTGAATGGACATGGGAAATCTGGGGTGGAAAGGAGGAGTGTGCTGTCACAGTATCGGGAGAGCAACTAGGGTCACATAACAATGTGTGTATACATTTTTGTGTGAGAAACTAACTTGAAGTGTAAGCTTTGACTTAAAGCACAGTGAGAAAGAAAACGTGTGTCAGTGGTCTACTCCCATTGTGCACAGGGTTACCATCAGTTGAGTGGGGTGCTGACTCACCAGCAGCTAACAACAACAACAGCATTCGATAAAAAAATTAATCCTTTTGCCAAGAGACTGGATCATATGACCACATCAGGAGAAAAATGGTGCAAAGAAGCTCTTTGGTAATAGTGAGTTGACATACAAGGACTTAAAGTAATTATGATTAATTGTGCCCAAGAAAATGAAGGAAAAGATGGATAAAATAGATGAAAAGAAAGAGAATTTCTTCAGAGAATTAAAATCTATAAAAAGAATCAAATGGATATTCTAAAAGTGAGGAATACAATGTTGGAATTTAAGAACTTGATGAGTTTATAGCAGTTTGGACACAGGAGAAGACAGATTAGTGAACTGGAGAATAGACACTAGAAAATATCTAAACCAAGGCACAGAGTAAAGTAAGAGTAGATAAAACAGAAAAGAGCATAAGAAACGTGGGAAATAGTAAAAAAGTCTAATGTGTGATTGGAGATGAGAGAGAGAGAATGATGTAGAATTAGTGTCTGCAGAAAGAATGGCAGTGAAAGTTTCAAACTGGGTAGAAGATGCTGTGGGTTCTGCTATTTGAGGATGTTGACTGAGCAGTATTTTCCGGAATTGGGGAATGAGCCACCGTGGGCCACTATGAGGTGGCCAGAAGCACAACCCCACTGGTCACCTGACCTCTGTAAGCCTCTGTAAACTCCTCTGATTATTCGGCTGCAGTGCCGGAGTGAGTCTTTAGGAATTAGTGGCAGTTTGGAGCCAGTGTTCGGTAAGCCCCGAAAAGTCTTGTTGTTCCCCCTTCTCCAGTGCATGGTCATTGTGATAAATGGCCACATGACCATTTCCGTTGGGAGGGGCTGGGAGTAATACTTATATTGTGCATTTTTGTTAGTGTCACAGGCCCTTCCTCCCTTTCCCTCACGGGGCTCTGGCTCTAGGGATTGGTATTCTTTTGTGGTGATCCAAGTCAGACTTTTGTACAGTAGACCTGGATCAAGTTAGACTTCAGAAGGCTGCCGTCTCTGTCAGCCTGGAGGTACCATGGCTCATTAGCTGATGCAGGACATCTAGGCTTATCAGACATCCTAAATACCACTCTGGGATCCCTACACCCCTACTGAATTCAGGGAGCCTAGTTTGATGGCCTCAGTGCCCGTTGTCATTGTTGGGCTATGGAAATGAACTTCTGCAGAGCTCTTCAGGATGCCTGAGATAAGGTTGGATGATGCCGTGACATTCAGCCCTGCACACTCCAGAAACTAATAAATCAAAGTTCCCTTTAA